GTAAAATCTATTACGATTTATGTATTCTTTAAAAATATATATGTATCATTATATACGCATTTAACTGTTATCGCCATGAGAATAATAAATACCTGTTTTAATTACTACTATTGTCTTTTGCTTAAATACATATATTTTCATATATTTATTTTAGAGAATTAGCCAACAGCGTATAAAATTATAAATAATAAAAGAATACAAAAATGACAATGGAAATTACTACATTACAATGAAGGAAAGCTGCATTCTTATCATTCGTGATGCGATTTTTTTATTGTAGATCTACGTAAAGAAACTGAGGAGAAAGTTCTTACTATTGTCTTTTCTTCCTGTAAAAATTGCAACTTGTATTAAACAGAAAATAATTATGAATCTTATTAGAATTCTACATCTGTACTTAGAAAATTTTAAGATTACGGTGATAATCAAACCTTGTTTAAATAAAATTCATTATTTTATATTAATTATAGTTCTTCGAAATTTAAGATTTCTCACACTTTTTTCAAAGGAAGTACATTGAATAATTATAAAGTTAAAAAATTAATTATTTTAATAATATTTTATATTTGAATATTATTCGTAAATTTAATATATCTAAGCGACACATGTAACTACTGCTGTGTTTCTCTAAAATAAATATATCAGCGTATATTTATTTTATCGAAATATAGTAGTAATATTCAAATTTGGTATTACTATTGCCATGCGTATATAGAATTATAGATAATAAAACATTGCATAAATCACAATTGATTTTACTACATTATAATCAAGGATAACTGCATTATTAATATTCGCTATGCGATTCTATTCCACGTGGAAGTAACGAGGAAAAATATGTTGCCTATCTTTCGTTTTTTCCTGCTTCAACTTTGATTACACCGAATATAATTATTCAAATTGTAAACTTGCATTTAATTTATTATTGAATGTCAATTAACAATTTCATTTTTCTTACTGCTTTTTTTTATCCAGTATGAAACGTAAATATTTATATGTAGTCGGTTTAATTCTTAAATACCTAAATGGCAGAACACTAAAAATTTATCGAAATAACTCATTAACGTTTTACAGAAATATAGTTGCATGGTTCAGTAATCATGAATTAAAAAATTTATTATAAAGTTTCCTCTTTTTGGCTAAATTATTCAATTATTCATTGTTGATCAGTTTTTCCTCGTAAGAAATTTATAATTTCCTGCGACATTCATTTCCTTTTCATATTAACAAGTCTAACGTCTGAATCCAGTCTTCGAGTAACAAAATTCATTTGCAAATTTGTCATTAAAATATTATAAGTTATAACACTGTTGATAAATACAATTACCGCCGGATCGTAAAACTTACCAGACATTTCGGATAATGAAAATGAACAACGAAAATATTGTGAGTAATTACTAAATTATTATAGAATTGTTTTATTTACTAATTTTACTTTTATTTTTGCTTGCTTACTTGTTTGCTGTTTTAAAATGTTTGTTTTTAAATATTTTTTTACTGGAGAAACATAACGGGTAACTCAAAAGTTGTTTTCAAATATTAAATGAAACGAAGCTCAACTGCCCAAAAGCAAAAGCCTCCACTGGAGCAATTGCACTGGAAGTGACCAAAATTCGTTACAAAGGGAGTTAGTTCTTTGTTTTCCGAAGAAAGACGAACATGCAAATAGGTTTACAGAATGTCTAAGTAGAAAGTATTTTCGCACATATAAGTCTATTTAACAGGTCATCTATTTTAGAAATAGGTTCATTGTTAATTTTAGTCATCTTGTTTAACTTTTTGTAATTCATACATAGATTATTTATATCAACTTTTTTACCTAATGAGATTGGAACAGGGTACAGAAACGACGAGAGTTTAATTAATCACGATTTTACAAACAGTTCCACCTGTCTTTGAATTTCTATCTCAGCAAAATGCTCTCTAAGGTTTGAGAATCATGAACTTTTTGTTCTTGAGTAATATTTTAAAAGTATCTACGTTGAGGGCTGGAACTGACAATTTCTCAGCAGAAAAATCTTTCTAAAATCTTTTAGCTCCTGTTTCTGTCCAGGTTAACAACATCTCTATTGTTAAAAATATTTAGCAGAGATTCCTTTAAGAAAGTACAGCAATCCCTACCCCTAAAAAAAATTTGTACATATTGTTTTATGGGGAATTACCGTATTTTGTACTTTATATTATTTTGTTTTTGTTAATTTGTTGATTCGAACGTCTTTAACCTGATGATGGCCCACTGAATGGGTTGAAAACGTTCGTTTAGCTGAACGAATGAGCTTTTTTAGTATTATGATCTGTTGACTTTATAAAATGTTAAATATTTTTTTTAATAATAAAAAATCTATAAATATACTATTTTACATAATTTTGAATAATTTTTCGAGAATAATATTTAACCAAAAAAGTATAGATTTTCTGATAATATTCAGAGATATTCTAGTTATACAAGAAAATTACAGCTCATTTCATAAGTGAAAGTTCAATCTGTTGTATTTGATATGTAAACTTAAACACAATGAATTTTAAAGTTTAATGGCTTCATCGAATTTTAACATTACTTTTAAAATTTAAATAATAAATGAAAAGGAAATCATTGCTAGTCACGAAATGTTACATAATTAGTAATTAAAGAAACTTTGTGCATTCATTTATTTATAATAATCATTCGAAAGTGTAAGAAATGTGTAGTGTGAACCGTTGGGGAAGGTGTAGGTCTCCCGATCCGGCAACGGCTGTTTAACCCTGTTCAAGGTCAGGATGGATTCAAATTTTGTTACTTTATCCCGCTGTAACGGGATTGGGATTTGAGTGGCGGAGGAAGGAGTGTCGTCGGTAAGGTGATAGACGATATACGAATCAAATAGGAGACCAAACGTAACATTAAAAATAGCAATTTAATAAAGCTAATTTCGGATAGTACAACGTCAAGTTCGCGTCCCTAAGTCGCGGAGAGACCGAGAGAGAGCTTACAATAATTGGTTCCATACCTCTTGACTTGTTATCCACTGACGAAAAATTATTCAATATTTGATTTAGGAAAGGTTTCACTTTTTAAAAGGACGCTATTTTAAATTTATCTTCTCCTGGCACCTGCTCTGGAACGACTCACCTGAGAAGGGGAAGGAAGGGGTTTTCATAAGATCGGCGTGGGAGAATGGTCACGTGATTGATTGTTGTGAGGTAAAAGGTACGCAGATGAATCAGAGTCGTCCCCGCGACCATGTTAACTATCAACATAGCAGTTGGAATGTGGGATTAGTTTTGAAATGAACGGATGTTTACCTCGAATAGAAATGGGCGATAGCCCTTTCTCTTTTCTCTTTTTAGTGAGGTTTTACTTTAAGTCAAAAGAGAAATTAATTAGATTTTTAATTAATCAAGTAGACTACGGGCCCTTAATCATCACGACCGATAAAGCTCCGGATTTCACATGTAGTATTATATATTTGTCTTATTCTCAAGGAACAGTACAAAATCAGCCAGGACACGATGTTTATTAAAAAACATAAAGAAATCGTCATAAACCATGCTTAGAAAAATAATAGTAAAATATCTTTCACATTCAAAATAAATAAAAACTAGTTTAAAAGCATCTTTTAATAACTGCGTATTAAGTTGAATTATTACTTTACAAATACGAAATCTAAACTCTAATCAATTATTAATTTTAACTTATTTAAATGATAAAAATATAAATAATTTCAAAATATAGTCGACCCCCTATAACGCGGTAGATACGTTCCACTTTATAAGAATTTCGCGTTGTAGGAATCCTTAAGTACATGAGCCAATCACAGCCCGGCACTTGTGCAGTTTACGGACTACGGCTGTTTGAAATGTTTTCTTCCATAAAATTAATCGATTGTAGACTAATTTGACTCAACATTGTTAAAACACGTATAATTTTTGGGAATAATCCGTACAAACTATGTTATAAACAAAAAATTGTAGGATTACTTACCGAGTGTGACCTTTCGACGTCGCCATTGCTTAAGCTTGTTTTTGTCGCAGAGCACCGAACCAAACGGCGGGCACGTTTTCTAATAAGTTATTTTTCAGCCGAAAATTCGCTAAACTTTAGAGACATCATTAATAAAAATAATATTCATCGCCGTTAAATAAGAAATGTTTTTTTTTACATAAAATGTATAAAATTACAGTACTGCATTAGACTTACAGTACCTAATTTATACACTGTACAGACGATAGTAAACTCAAGTTAGCTACCTAAACTCTCCATAGCGTGTAAGTAGTTCGGCTGCTCGTCTACTATTGGTCCAGATTCGACCAATGATATCGCGACACGAGTCGGCGATAACATTTTACCGCATTTTACGAGTCTCTTTTTGCGTCTTTATACGAATACAGTCTCAATTTTTTCCCACGATATACGAATCTGCATTATATAAACCCGCGTTATAGGGGTCTATTGTATTTGCAAAAATGTTCTTATCAGACATAATTTTAGAAATGTCTCTCATTTGTTGTCTCTTCATATGACTTTAAAATTAACAACTTCATTGGCGATAATGACTTTTTTTACAGACTTATTTTAAAAGAATCTCGAAATTACACAATGAGGCAACAGATGAAAGACACTTTTATTCTTACATCCAATGAAAAAATACTTTTGGTAAATTTTTAAAATTATCTAAATGATGTTATATTTTTGTTTTTTATAGACAAAATAATATCTTTAAAAAAATTGAAACGTGAAAACTGACTGTGTGAAGAAACGATTATCTATCGTTTTTCGAAAATTAGGAAGATTAATCGGACTTCATCCTTACTACTTTATTATTTTTCCTATTTTAATAACAGCGTCATTCTCAGCTTTCATCTTTAATATAAACACCATCTCAAACACAATCGAACTGGCATTTGCAGATTCAGGAAAAGTCTATAATACTAAGAAATTTATTGACGAAACGTTACCTTTCAATACATCGAAATTCCTTGATCCGACGAGTTTTACAGCTCTACCAAAATGTGTGTTTGTGATGTTTACAAAGAAGGGTGGTGGTGACATGCTCGAGAAAGATGTGCTACTGGAAATAAATCTGGCAGATCAGTTTATTAAGAATATAACAATTGACGATAAAGGTGTAAATATTGGATATTCAGATATTTGTGCACGTGTAGGCGAAAAATGTTTTGAAAATCCGATTATCGAAATATTGCCCGAAATTGATAAAATAGTGCAGAGAAAAAAGAAATTGAAGTATCCGTTCGACATAGATTCGCTGACATACTCTTCTCAAATTTATTCTCTCAACTTTGGGGGTGTAACTGAAGATGAAAACGATTTCATTCAGACAGTAAATGCTATGAGATTAGTTTATTTCACTGACGAAAGCGACAAGAAAAAACACAATGTGATAGAAAGATGGCGAACAGAAGTTTACAATCAAATAAGAAATCATCAGTTTAAATATGTTCTGTTTTTCATTGACTACAACTGGTCAATGGAACAACAAAATGTGCAATTAGTAGAAAATATAAAACCGATGATCGGTGCAGTAGTTGCATTTATTTCTGTGTTTACTACAGTTACGTGTATGAGCAATAATTGGGCAAAAAGCAAGCCTTTTCTGGGTGTTGCAAGTGTCGTTTCTGCCGGTCTGGCCGTGGTCACCTCTTTCGGCTTCATGTCGGTTGTCGGTGTACAGAATACCATTTGGAACATTACAATTCCATTTTTAGTTCTCGGTAAGTGATTACTTACACTTTTATTGATACATTTTTCTCTTTTAGACTAAAAATTCTTCAATTAATAAAAGTTTTTTGATGCAGTGACAGAGATCGATGATGCCTTCGTATTATTGGCATGTTGGAGAATATCAAACCCCAAACATAAAGTACACAAACGCATGCAAGAAACATTGGGTGAAGCAGGAGTTTCTATAACGTTAACATCGTTGACTAATCTGTTTTCGTATTGCATTGGAATGACGGCATCTTTTCCTCTTATAAGAATGTTTTGTTATTATTCGGCAACCAGCGTAGTGTTTACATTTTTGTATCAAATAACATTTTTTGCAGGTTGCATGGCATTATCAGGATATAAAGAAGAAAAACAACAACAAGCATTCCGTCTTAATATCCGTAAGATGATTTAAGTTTTTAAATTAAATATATAATTATATATGTATAGGGTTTTTCAGAATTATTATGGCCTATGAGATTGTACATAGAAGCGTCAACAAACTGTTGAAATAGCATGAAGTGTAATTTTGTAGTGCATTGATAATATATGATGCATTACTTCGTTTAAGTGTTCTGTTAATATGAAATTATTTGAAGAAACTAAATTCGTGTTGCCCAATTACTATCAATTAGTTAATTGCAGCTTCATGTTTACGTCACAACTACGTATGTTGTTTATATTGAATTTCATTAATTTAAAACATTAAACATTACAATAACTAACATTTGTTCTGTTTACTTACGTTGAAATAAATTTAAAATTAATATATATATATATTAATAAACTGGTTACTTGCAATGTTCTTGCATATGTAGCCTTAAAGGATTAGAACTTATAACCTATCTTCTTTTTAGTTACTTGTACGTTTCCTATAGCAAATTGAATTGACACAGCTGGAATAGTACCTTATAGATTCTTTACAGTATTTAAAACGCGGAAGATATCGTTAATTTAGAATAGTTTAATATATTATTGAAGTATGATTTTTACTAAAGTCGAATTTATTATACAGCTAAGATTCCAACTTTGCTCTTTCTAGCTTACTTGTCGCTGCACTGGTTTTTGGTGTAGGTTACTACAAAGGCTTACGTAGTATTATTCTTTCGTAATCCTCTGAGAAGGATCATTTATTTTTCTAATTTTTTCTGTTCATTCTCCTTTTTATATCACATTCCTTCTCTTACTTGGCTGTTATATTCGATTTTATGTTAACAAAAAACAGCTTTCCCTTAAAATAAGATGAAAAGTATAATTAAATATATCGTAAAGAAAAAGAAAATATTTTTGAATACTTATACTTTTTGATGTGATTTTATCAAATATCTAAATACTTTTCGTTTCCATATTTTAATCATACCTCTTATTTTTATTTCATTTGCAGGTAATTAATATTACATTAAATGATTAAAAATTAACTATACATTGTTTAAAATTACTTTTCAAATAAAAAACTCGTATGAGTATTTTAAATGGTAATTTTATTTACAGAAGATTTTGAAAATGGATCTACAGAAGAAGAAACGTCAACTGATGAGCCATCAATGGCATATTTTAGGGATAAGTTGGGAAAAATTCTATGTATGAATGTAATGAAGTTAACAGTTATCGTTGTGTACTTTCTAAATTTATCACTTGGAATATGGGGGGCCTTAACTATAAAACACGGTATAGATTTTACTAAGTTATATTCACAAGAATCGGTAATAACACAGGGTATTAAAATATATTATAATAGTTTCGGCCGTTATACGTTTCCTTATCATATAGTAATTAATAGAACACTTGATTATTCAGACTTAAATGTACAAAAATCCGTAGACGAACTACTCAACAAATTCGAAAGTCTTCCGTATGTTGCAGATTCTAGATTCACGGTATCTTGATTGAAATATTATAAAGAATTCCAAAATCACCCGCTAGCAAAGTATTCATTACGAGGATACAACATGTCGGTTAAACAAGATTTCTTGGATGGACTTCGCAATGTTTTCCTGAAATTTAAATCAGCGGAACAATTCTCTGACGATATCGCATTCAACTCTGATGGATCCGATATTTTAAGTAGCAGATTCCATGTACTTGTGAATGATACCTTAAGTGCAGAAGCTGAAATGGAAATGTTAACAACTCTGTGGAAAATTGCTGACGAATTTGATTTTCCTGTTTTTGTTCATGTAGCAATGGCACCTCTGTACGAACAAGGAATTATAATTGGACGTACAATTCAGGATTTATTTTGGATCACTTCTCTTTTGGTCATGATTCTTTTTATAGTTTTCATACCAAACATTGTCGTTGCAGTTCTCGTTGCAATATCGGTAACATCCACCATTGTAGAAACTTTAGGGTACATGTCTTTGTGGGGTACAAACGTGGACATTTTATCTATGATGAGTCTGATATTATGTGTCGGATTCTGCGTAAATTATCCGGCTCACATATCTTACGCGTATATTTGTTCTCCGTATCAAACTCCCAATGAAAAAATGAAAGACAGTCTGTATCGTATCGGCTATCCAATATGTCAAGGATCTCTGTCAACCATTTTAGGAATTTTATTTGTATACAGAGATATGTACGCTTTCATTATATTAGTGAAAATTGTATTTCTTATTGCATTGGAAACTGCATTTCATGCATTGATTTTTGTTCCTGTTGTTCTCTCTTTAATCTCTTCAATTTTCTTTAAAGTTAATAACGAGATATAGAGCCAGAAAAAATTTCTGGAAAATTTACTATTGTGATTATAAAATAAACTTACAATTTTAAAACTTTTTAATATAGTTTATTTTTTATTTAATTTTAATTTTGCATAAAAAATTTAATGTTATATTTGTATGAATAGTTATTTCTAGANGGGTGTCCAAACACCCCACAGTATTAATTACATTTTTTAAAAAAATTTTACAAATATTTATTTGTTTTTTTTATTTTAAAAATAACTATAATGTGACCACTTTTATTATTTATAATATAGATATAATAATCAATGTGAATAAAAATAATTTAAGTTTATTTTAATTCAAAATGGCTGACTTTCATAAACACATTGAGAAAATACCAAACATAGCAAGTTGCTTGTCATTTGCACTGAGTGCCAAAGTACAATGTCAGCTATTGAATCAGAGTGACAAAAATGCTTAAAAAACAATTTAGATTTTTACTATTGGTTTAATAATAAGATCTAATGTAATGAGTTTTGATAAATGTTGTATTTTATTTTCGTGGATTTATGTACTAATATAATATGTAATCATACCTGAATATAATCATATGTATAATGACACATGCCTTTACCAAATAAATGAGTAAATCTTTATGAATTTTTACTTACATGGTTTATGGACCAAAAAAAATGTCGGGGTGGACAAACGCCCCACTGCACTAATGCCGAAAAAAAACTCAGTGCACTAACGCAGGGTTAAATATATAAGCAACAGATATAACTACCGCTGTGTTTCGCTAAAATAAATTTGTCGAAATATATTTATTTAAGCCAAAGACAATAGCAGTAATTAAAACCGGTATTTATTATTTTCATAGCGATAACAGTTAAATGCATATATAATGATATATATTTATATTTTAAAGAATATAAAAATCACAATAGATTTTACTACATTACAATCAAGGTTAACTACAATATTAATATTCGTTATGCGTTTCTTCGATTGTATTTGACAGGAAAGAAACGAAGAAAAATATATTATTTATCTCTTATCTTTTTTTGCTGCTAATTTTACACAAAATATAATTATTCAAATTTAGAATTGCATTGATTTATTATTTAATGGTAACTAGCCATTTAATTTTTCTTACTGCTATTTTATCCAATATGAAACGAAAATACTTCTAGTCGGTTTAAATTTTAAATACTAAATGGCATAACACCAAAAATTCATCAAAATAACTTATTAACGTTTTTCACAAATATATTTTCATTGCTCGGTAATAATTAATTTCAAAATTTATTTCAAAGTTTCCTCGTTTTGGCAAAATTGTTCATGAAACTTGTATTGCAAGTCTTTTCCTCATAGATAATTTAGAATTTCTTGCAACATTCCTTTTTTTATATAAACAAGTCTAACGTTTGAATCCAGTCTTTAAATTACAAAATTCATTTGCAAATTCGAAATAAATATATCGAAATATAAATAATAAATATATCGAATAAGAATAAATATATAAGAATAAATAATATAAGAATAAATATATCGAAATATATTAAGTGAANTAATGTTATATTTGTATGAATAGTTATTTCTAGACATTAGTCACGATATAGCTTATTTTTTTCTTAATTATTTTAAACCGAGTTTTGTCGAAATTATTACGTTTTATGATGTTATTATCTTATTTTTTTGTAATGTAGTTATTATAAATTATTACTTCAGTAGAAATGTATATGTAGATAAAGTGAAAAATATTGATTTAAGACTTTAAACTTTTCTAGATTTACTAGAATAAAAATTTTTAAAGTAATAGTTTGTGTTATCCTGTTGTATTAAAAATTATTTTTATACTAAATAATGAGCCATGCGTTGCTCGGGAGAAAAGTAACAATACGGATGATTAAAATTATTACATTATATCTAATTTTACCTGTTTTCTCAGAATGCAGGTATTAGGTTGCTCTTTTTCCAGACTAATTACAAAATTCTTAGATGGGTCTAAAAATATGTTCGATTTCTAGCAAAAACGCAAAAACTGCATCTGCGCCTGTAAATCTTGCACGTTGCTTTTTACTTATCACTTCAATTGTTACTTAACCACTTTCACTGTTAACACTTTCATTGTTAATAACCTCCCCCCTTAGGAAAAATTTCGAAAAATCCTTTCTTAGGGTGCGACCTGTTCAGACGCAACTTTAGAGCGAGATAGAGGTTGCGAGCGATTTAGTTTTCGCAAAGGAAAACCATGCACAAACGAGAAGCGAGAAATAATGCTGGCGAGAGGGAATTTCTGGTTTTCGCACATATCTGACAGTTTTTGATATTTATCGCTTCTTGCCTCTTCTCGCCACATATTCTCGCTCGCTCGCGTCTGCATAGCCGCACCCGTAGTGTACGTTTTCATGACGAAACCTAACTTTGTACCAAATTTTATCTTTAACCTCTTAACCGTTTGTGCTTTGCGATTCTTATTATTAATCGAAGTGGCTGTTTTAAAAAGCAATTTTTGCAACTAAAAATAATATTGTCAACGATATCAAAGATAATATTCAAAAGAAAATTTCCGGTAATATTCAAAAAAACATTCAGAACTGGCAACTGCTCAAACTCTTTTAAGTTTGGGTATTGTATAAATTATATATCAAATCAACTTTTTATTAACAAATAAACTAAGTTCACTTTACAGTTTTCACACTTTATTTTCGATTTATATTCAGTCAGTGTATTACTTTGACTACTCACACTTCACTGTTTCTTTTTATTCACTCACTGCACTACTTGGGAATTAGTACTTCTTTTTCGGTTTTTGTCTTTGTTACTAATAAGAAACTTAAGTTCGAACCCACACCGGATCTTGCTTTATATATCCTTACCAATGGGTAGTCCCAACCATACAAAACAGGCTTCGAATGGTCCGCAATGTCCCAGAACATTTCACAACATTCGAGACTTTTCTAGAATGTTTCGCAATGATCTGGGATGTTTCGACATGTTCCCGAACGTTCCAGAACATCCCGAATCATTCTGGAATATTGTGGAATGCTCTCGAACACTCTCGAATGTTCTGGACTGTTCTAAAAATTTTTAGAGGACAAAATTTCTAGCACTTATATCTTTAACAGAACACCCTTCTGGTAAAAACGGGAACCTTCTTCATGGATGGTGGATATAGGGCTACCACACCATATAAGTCCCTTGGTCGTATTGGGACTCGTTTTTGAGTTTTAGAGGCACGCACATTGTACACTTAACTTTATTATATATATTGATATTGACGATGATGGTGATTGTATTTTAGTAACGTTTTAGTTTTTTTATTATAATAAGAAAGTGGCATATGCTATGGTTTGCATTGCAACTAACAATCTTTAGCACGGGCAAACTGCAACTTGTTTATCCTGCAGTTTCACTGATGTAATTGTTATATGCCTCAAAAGTAGTTTCGTTTGTAATATTATTAATATCAGTTTTGTTTTCTCGTTTTGTTAAATACAAGAAAAAATAAATGTAAAATTATGACATGCAAGCAGAAAATAATCTTGAAAATATTTACCATTTTTGGTATGTGATTTTGCTGCTTCGATAAATGAAAACTTCCAGGCTTTGTTTCCTAATGTGTAAATTATTTTTTTTGCAAAGTTGCGCGATTTTGTTAAACAAAATTGCGCAATTTCGCATAAAATAAAACGTAGTAATAACATTGTGACATTCAGAGGGAGTAATTGCGTAAATAAATAATATAGTTATATTTTAATACGAAGAAGAAAAAAGCAAGCCATAGGTCAAGTAAAGAATGAATTAACAAAGTGGAGGAAACCCACACACATCTTACTTTTTGATTTCTTAACGGATAAAAACGATGAAATATCTTTCTGATTTAACAATTATGTTTAATGTTGTAATACATACCTCGATTTTAAACACTACCGACCATTAATTTTGTTTGTTTGACAACTTTTATCAATTTTCTGAGGTGAAGTGACTAATAATACCAGATAAAAGGAAGTAATAAATTTCTCGAAACGTTTGATTAGTGACAGTTAATGCGTAACTGCACCTATTTATTAAACCTTTTTATGATTTTATTAAATTTTCATTCATATTTTAAACCTGTCTACCTGCCTGTTATTCGGAAAATGGAGAACTTTATCGACTTATCACCACCTTCCTCCCACTTAATTGGTTAACGAGCACTCATACTCACATAACTG